GATACGCTTGATATTGTTTCAATACAAGCGTCATCCGTGGGAATCCTGACAAAGTCCATGACGGGTGTCCGTACGAGCGATATGACACAACTTTCATTCCAATGCTTTTAATAAAAATCACTAATGCCTACACATTATTATGTGATAACTCGCCGAGAAATGCAATTGTATGTACTGGGTTGTATACGCGTCATCCTAGGCAAACAGAATCGGCGTACAGTGTGATCGGGGTCGCCAAAAAAACAGTGAAATAGGTCGAGTAAGAACAACATGGCAAGAGAAAAAGTCTGGGAATTCAACGACAATAAAAGTTGTGCCGGTTTTCCTTGGGAAAACGCAGCGAAATAGGATGGTTTATACTTACCGCGGAATACACACTTGAGTCGTCAATACACTTAAATGTATTTATAAAGCATTGGATTAACTCGATTAATGATGATAACAGACAAAACACTAATACAAAAGACAAACTGAGGACTTACAAAAAATTTAAAACAAACTTCATTTTGGAAAACTACTTAATTAAGCTATTAAGCTAAAAAAAATAAAGAACTGAAAAGTACCTTAACTAAATTCAGACTGAGCAATCACAGTTTAGAAATTGAAAAAGGAAGACACAACAGAATCAAAAGTATCGACAGAATCTGCAAATTGTGTAATAAAAATGATATTGAAGATGAACATCACTTCCTCATAATATGCCCAGTATATCGTAAAGAGAGGGTCGTTTTATACAATGAAGCTGAAAAGATATATTCCTGACCACAGTCCCTGTGATAGAGGGACTGTGTCCTGACTTTACTAATCTCACACCTGAAAATAAATTCATAAAAATAATGTCAAATAATAACTTAGCAATTCCTCTGGCACAATATCTGAAATACAGCTTTGCTATTAGACAGCAGCACCTACTTAGTCATTGACTTTTTTTTATACCTATTCATTGTTTTGTTTTTTGACAGTCTATTTTCTTTACACCATCCTCGCAGTCTGTGTTCGTCACATCATCCTCAGTCTATTTTTTTACATCATCCTCGCAGTCTATTTTTTTTACATCATCCTCAGTTTGGTTTCTTTACATCATCCTCACAGTCTGTGTTCGTCACATCATCCTCGGTCTATTTTTTTACATCATCCTCGCAGTCTATTTTCTTTACATC